CATAAACATAAGTGGTATATTTATCTTGGGGTTCCTCTTTCTGAAACTCTTGAAGTGACATTTGGCTGGGGGCTGTTTTACCTTTTATCTTGAGTTCATGCTCAGCCTTACAGATTTTATTAAATATAACAAGCAAGAAACTGGGGTGGAGCTAATGTAAGTTGAAGGCCAATGGTGTGCACAGTAGGATCGTCAGATGTCCTGCTCGGTGGGGCCCAGACATTATCTCTGTAAACTTTCTAACTTGGCTCAAGTGTGAAAGCAGGGAGGAGTCAAAAGCACTCAAAAATAAAAAAAGTTTAGGCCAAGGGGAGAGAAAGCCAATGTGAATCTCAAAGTTTTCTAGGTTTTTGGGCGGAGCAAACGTGGAAAGTTGAATCCTGACATGTGAATTGGGACATTGAGGGGAGCTGGTGGGACTGTGTGTGGAGAGCAGACTGTCTCCATCCAAAGTGCCGTCAGCCCTGGATCCCCTGCTTACAGCAGCTGCTTGATTTCGGAGCACTTCCAGCAGCACAGGCGCCCTGGGATCTTGAGTCAGCTGTGGGGGCAGGGGCTGCTCTCTTTCAGGGCTGGTGGGAGCTGCTCCTGGAGGGTCAGCCTGGAGGCTTGCTCTCCAGCCTCCCTCTTGATGTTCGATATTAAATTCCTTTCTTCATAATCAGCTGCAGGGGATTCTGCTGTGTGCCACGGAACCTGCTGTGTGCCACGGAACCTGCTGTGTGCCATGGAACCCTCTGTGTGCCATGGAACCTGCTGTGTGCCATGGAACCTGCTGTGTGCCATGGAACCTGCTGTGTATACAGATCCTGAATCCTTCCACTGGGTTCCACCAAGGGATTGCTGTGATCCCAGATTCATCGAACCCAGGCCACTGCAGAGTAACAGTCCAGGTTCTGATCCACCACGGGAAGAGCTAATGAGGACCACCGAGCCATGGCTTGTGCAGGTGCATGGAACCCAGACCCTGTCAAGCGCACCAATGTCCCAGGTGAAATAACCTTCTTTCCCCCTTGTTTCCTCTCCTCGGCAATACCCAGGTTTGGGCTGTTATAAATTAGTACATTCTTTTAATTCTTTTGACGTGTAATCCCTCCTCCTCTGGGCTTTGTGGTGTAATGGCCCCGGTGACCTGTGGAGATGGTCTTTCTTAAGACAGACTGGTTGCCGCTCCCATTCTAATGAGGGAGAAGCCAACCCTTGAGAGGCCCCTGGATGTTGGGGGAGCATGCACTGCATTCAACTGCCCTGCTCTGACTCAATAACCGGATAATTATCTTTGGGTGGGACCCCAAGCAAGCAAGCCATCTTCAGCTTTTTAGGCCACATCATGATCAATTCATCCTTGGATTTGACGGCCTCAAGAACCTGAAGGGTTCAGGATTGCGGTGACCCATTTGGGTGTTGTGTGAAGCCTGCGGCAAGCCTAGACAGGGGACCAGTGATCAAGGACCAAAGGGGTTTGAAACAAACCTATGCCCTTGGCAAGTAACTACTGTTTCTTTTGGGAAGCCTTGAGCATCGCACCGGGTCAGGGAGTCGCTGGATGCCTGGACTTGGTACCATGGAGACCTGAGCTGGAGGCTGTCTGACCCACTAACCGAGAACTCTTGTGCATCCAGGGCCATCCCATCACCGAGCGGATGCAGTTTCTGGGAGGTCGGGCACCCGAAGGCACCTACGAGTGTGATAAACGGTGACTGGCTTATGTTCTGCCCTGTCCCACCCACTCTTGGCCAACAACTACGGCCGAGTGCTGAGTTCCCTGTGAGGGCTTGACAAAGGAAACCAGGAGGATCGTGGCTTGCTTGTGCCCACGTCAGCTGCAGGGGCTCCCGCAGGCCCTTGTGGGGAGCCCTTGAAGGACCGTAAAGAGCCCTGCCAGCGCTGAGGCTCCCGGCAGCACCTTCCGCCCCACCATCACCACGGGGTGCCCGCAGGAGGGTTAGTCAGAGGCCCGGCCTGCTCTGACCCAGGAGCAGGGGCCCTGTGGTCTGAGGCTCCACAAGAACAGAGCTAGATGCTTAGGGAAGAGTTATATGGGTGGGCTGGTGGGAATGGGCCCAGAGTGGGAGACCATCTGTGTTATGTGTGCATGCTCACCAAAGGCCTTGCTGTGAATGAGGGTCTCGAACCCAGGAGGGTTGATGACAGGGAGTGTCAGTGAAAGACTTCCGCAGGGACCCTGTGCTTGCTCGAGGGGTTCTTATATAAAGTGGCATTGATGGCAGATACAGTGGTTATGTACGGGCTCAGTTATATGAGCACCTGCTTGCCCAGGCCGGTGTGACCACTGAAAGGCACAGCCTTTTTTTGATGGAGTGCAAGACCCTTATGAAGACAGCTTGCTGGTGGTAGTAGATTGTTTATGTCGGATCTCTTCCCTCACAGGGAGGGCAGGACTACCTCAATGAAGTAGGTAATCCAGTCAATAAAAAGTATTTATGAGGCGCCTGGTGGGCTCAGTTGGTAAGCGTCTGACTCTAGATTTCAGCTCAGGTCATGATCTCACAGTTCGTGAGTTTGAGTCCCATGTTGGGCTCTGTGCTGAGCATGGAGCCTGCCTGGGATTGTCTCTCTCTCTGCCCCTCCTCTGCTCATTCTCTCTCTCTTTCTCTCAAAAATAGATAAACATTAAAAAGAACGATTTATTAATGGCACTAATATCTGAAATGGTAAGTAAAAGACAAAATATCCTGTGGTGGGAGCGGTAAGTTAAATCATGATTGGCTTTAATATGTGTTTGTTACTTTTGTTAAAAAACACAGAACTAAACAAACAAAAACCAAAAACTCACGGAGTGATTTTGTTATCTTGGGGGATGAGACCATGAGATTCGAAAATGTACCTTACTTCTAGTTTTAGACTTGAGAGTTTTTTTCACTGAAATCTTTTTTTTTTTTTTTATAATTTTTTTATTTTATTTTATTTTTTTGTTTTTGTTTTATTTTATTTCTAGGAGAGAGAGAGAGAGAGAGCGTGAGCAGGGGAGGGTCAGAGAGAGAGGGAGTCACAGACTGAAACAGGCTCCAGGCTCTGAGCTGGCAGTCAGCACAGAGCCCGACGCGGGGCTCGAACCCACGAACCGCGAGTACATGACCTAAGCGAAAGTCGGACGCTTAACCGACTAAGCCACCCAGGCGCCCCTTTTTCACTGAAATCTTAAAGCTTACACAGGTAATCTCAAATAAAGGGAGCTTTCATACCACCAATTTGTAGCAGAATTGAGTTTTTTCATAAACTAGAATGTTCTATACATGTTGGTCTTAATCCACATACACTTTATTTACTGTATTTTTTCCAGTTCACTGTAAAAATGCTGTGTGTACGGAGTGTTTTACTGGCATAGTCTTGGAGAAGTGCAGGCTGTGTGTACATATCTTTTAGCACAAATGTCTTACATAATTTGTACCAAAAAAAAAAAAAGGCAAAGAAAAGAAAGGGGTGGCCTGACCCTGGAGGAAGTACTAAGTATGTGTTTTTAAAACAAAATGAAAAAAAAAAAACCCACATGCTTTTAAACTGGATTAAACTGGAGAGTCTTCTGACAGCAGCTCTCCCCTGTACTGTGCACCATAGAATGAACGGTACACCCCTGACCCCAGTGTTTTGAATAAGAAGTATTTATTAAGCACGTACTATGTGCCAGGGATCTGGCACAGTTCTAAGTGCTTGGGATCTATCAGTGAGCAAAAAGGACAGAGGGTGTTGTCCTTCTGAATCATACTTTCTGGAGGACTGACATACCAGAAGCGTCGTAAGTAAATTGGTAGGGTGTTTACAATGACGTGCTAAGAGGAGAGGACATAAGGGCGATGGGCAGTGCAGAAATGGGGTGAGAGTTTCCAAAATACACGTGTCTCAGGGCGGGGCTCAAGACTTTGAGGGACGGGAGCGGGGGGTGGGGGGAGGGCATCCCATGCAGGCTTTAGGGGGGCATTTGCCTGGTGTGGGCAGTGCCTGTAGCTAAGTGACGAGAAGGAGAGAGGTAGGAGATGAAGCCACGGGAGGCAGGGAGGGGGAGCGCTGTGGGCAGGCCAGGGCGCCGAGTCTGCTGATGGGAGATGAGAATTCCCTGCAAGGGTGTGAGTCACAACCGCAGCGCCAGGAATGGAGGTGCAAGGGAAAGACACCAGGAAGGGGCCACAAACCCACCGCTGTGATGGGGGCTGACGGGGGGCTCCACCAGGGTGGGCGGGCTGGAGGTCATCGAATGGGATCGCCTCGAGTGTGGATATTTCATTGTGGAAGATTAAAAGCCTACAGAGGCTAGTGTAAGCCCTCTTCCTCCCACGATGTGCCTGTCACCAGGCTTCAGAAACAACCCACAGCCGGCGCCCTCACACCCCGGTTGCCCTTCTTTTACTGGGTTATTTCAAACAAGACTGTAGCATTTAACCTACACATAGGCCAGTGTGAGCTCTTAAAGATGAATGTTCTATTTGTAAAATAAAACATCACTATAACATTATCATTTATCTCGAAAACATACAATAATTTCTTAACAGCAGTGCACACATTTCCTTTAGAGTTTCCTAGCTGGTATTTTTCCTAACTTGGTCTGAGGTGGGATCCAAACAAGGTGCCTTTGGTTGATGGATGTTAAGTCTCACTTCACTTGTATGTTTTCTCTTTCTTTCATTTCCTTTCCCCTTCCCTCCCCTTCTCTTCCCTCCCCTTCCCTCTCCTTCCTCTCCCCTTCCTTCTCCTCCCCGGTCCCCTTCCCTCCTCTCCCCTCCCCTCCCTTTCCCTTCTTTCTTGTCGTTTATGTGTTGAAGAAACCAGGTCATTTGTCCTGTAGATTTTCCACAGCGTGGATTTTGTTGATTGCTGTAGTCCCAAGTATTTCCTGTCAGCTGGTGGTTGGATCTAGAAACTTGGTTGGATTCAATTTTGCTATTTTGGGCATGAGTAGTGTGTAGGTGACACTGAATACTTCCATCAGAAGGCACAAATGGTTAGGCTGTCTGGTTTTTTATTTTAACCTAATCAGTGGGTGACCCATGAAGTATCCCATCAAAAGAGTGGTTTTCTGTGTCTTTCATTTCTTCTTCATTTATTGAAAGAATTACTCATTCCCACATCAACTATTTGGTAACTAAAGACACACCTCCTGCAAGAAAGAGCCCAGTAGCCTCTGGGTAGGAAATCGTATTTGGAGAACACAGCCTATGGAAGGGATGCTCACTGCTGTTGGGTTGCTAATTATTTCTAGGCCTTTTCAGTGGACAAACCTAGGAAATAAATATCTTCTTTAAAAAGCAGAGTTTGATGTGAACCTCTATGGATATTTCCAATTCAAATTTGTAGGATTATTACTTAATTTTGTTTTTGTATTTTTTTCTCTAATGTTAAAGATCTTTGTCTTAAATAACATTAGAATAATTACATTTTGGTTTTGAAAGCTTGGCCTAGAGCCTGCTTCTTAAAATTCTTTTTTCTGTAGACCAGTGACGTGGATTCTTTTGTCTACCATGCAATCCTGACTGTAAGCAGTGTAGGTGGGAGAGGCGGCACTGGGCTTGGCGTGGGAAGGACCTGGGCACCGCGCACAGGTAAACCAACCAATGAGGATGGTCCCAAGTGAGACAGCTGTTGGAGACGCATGGAGCAGACACCTGGGTCACTCAGTCCTGCCTTGTACAAATCCCAAATCACCAAAACTTGTGATTCTGTTTTTCAACAAGAGTACTTCTCCCCCCACTTCTTCCTTTTCCCTAAATCAGACCGTGGGGAGCACATTACATTAGACTCAGAGCAGGGGTACAGGATCTGCAGATCCTGGTCACCTGAGCAAGTCTTTCAGTGGCGGCCCCATCACCAACTCAGAGAAGGTGAGTCAGGAGTCGTGGATGTGAAAGCACGTGGGTAGTTGGAACTAGCTGGTCACTCCTGGGGCCCTGAGGGCTGCCCTGAGCTGGAGCTTCGGATCAGGGACAAGTCATGCAGGTGGGACATTCTCGTAACCATCTTCATCTTCATCCTGGGACCTGACGTCTCCGGCTGAGTCCCCTTGGAGCTGTGTCTTCACCGAGGAGTAGACAACTGTGGTACACTGGAGCGGAAAGAAGATGAAGAAGAACCGGGAACAGGGAGAGAGGATGGGGCTGTAGGGGCTGGTGTGAGAGAAAACAGTTGGGGATGGACACTCACCTTGTCCCCTAGACATGCTCTGGAGGCACTGGCTGTGGAGGGAAAGGCACTCACTGAACGATGGGCATCATGACCACTCACAACCCAGGTTTCAAGCGTTCCCCCCCGAGGCTGGGAGCCATTGAACCCTCTGCACCGGTGCTTCTGCTTTCCCCACCCTGACCGCCAATGTGTCCCACAGCACAGGTGGTTTTCTGTTTCACCATTCCTTAGCCAAGCCCTCTGCAAGCTCTTTACAAGCTCTGTTGATCTGGAAGGTCCTTCATTGCTCCCACGCCAAGAAACCTTGCTCCCTGCCTTTACCACATGTCAACACAGAATTTCTCTCTGCTTTAATTTTTGCCTCTCTTAACTAACAGCACCTCCGCCTCACTCCAGCTTCAGAGTACCCCGTGATTGCTTGGCAGGTTCCCATGAGAGTGCTTCTCGTGTGTGCCCGCAGGAAAACACTCTGTCATGTTAGCATGTTCTCATTCTTAGTTTTATTTCTACGGTTCTCCAGAAATGGAACTGCAGTGAGAGGGAGGTATAGCTGATGGGTTTTGCCAGATCCTGTGTTAGGAATTAAGAGTCTCAGAGAACTGGATGGAAGCATCAGACCTACACAGATGTATGGAGACAGAGCCTTAAAAACAAGATGTCTCTGGGACAATTGAGGCTTCTCTCTATCACTGTGCTCTTACCATCAACCTTTCAGAGTCACAGATCTTTTTAATGATGTAAGAGAAGCTAGGTTCTCTCTTACCAGAATTATAGTTATATGTGTTGAACCCTGGATACAATTTTAGGGGCCTCATCCAAACCTCAAGGAAATGGGGAAGAAATCTTGCTACAGATCATTAATATATATAAAGTGGCTGAAATAGAAGCAGTCCAACAGAGTGCTCAGTGTTCTGATAAACATATCAAAGAATGTGAAGAACAGTACATGATCAAGGTAATTCTAGAAGACACATTCAATTAACCCAAACAACTTGGAGGCAGTTCTAATTCTGCCATTCAAAGGATGCTGACTTGTCAGGACGGGCTGAGAAAGCCAAGTGGCAGACAAGGCAGGTGGTCGGTGTTTGTCAAGTATAGTGATAGGCTTGATAATCAGCAGATCTTATAGCAAGATGGAAGACTTGGTCTGAAGTTCAATTTTTGCTCGCTTAGTGATCTTGGGAAGGCCCCGACATCATTTGTAAAACAAGTTCAAGATCAGACCACAACGGAGAGTTCTACTACAAAAGTATTGGGGATTTTAATTTCCAAGTGAGGTGCCATGTTTGGAAAAGCCACCTATGAAATGGGAGAAAATGTTTGCACACTATGCATCTGATAAGGGGTTAATATCCAAAGTATATGAAGAACACATGGAACTCAATAGCCAGAATACTACTACTACTACTACTACTACTACTACTAACTCAACTAAAAATGGGCAGAAGTCTTGAATATACATTTCCCCAAAGACATACAAATGGCCAGCAGATGTTGGAAAGGTATTCAACATCACTAATCATTAGAGAAATACAAATAAAAACCACCATGAGATATCACCTCAAACCTGTTAGGATGGCTATCATTAAAAGGTCAAGAGATAATAAGTGTTGGGAAGGAAGAGGAGAAAAGGATGCCCTTTTGAACTGTTGGTGGAGATGTAAGTTGGTGCAGCCACTGTGGAAAATGGTCTGGAGGGTCCTCAAAAAATTACAGATAGAACTACCATATGATCCAGCAATCCCATTTCTGGCTATGCACCCAAAAGAATTGAAATCAGGATCCAGAAGAGATAGCTGCAACTCACGTTTGCTGCAGCATTATTCACAGTAGTCAAGACATAGGAACAACCTAAGTGTCCATGAACAGGTGAACAGGTAAAGAATATGTCACACACACACACACACACACACACACACACACACACACACACACTGAAATAGAATGCATCCTTAAAAAAGGAAACCCTGACATTTTTGACAACATGGATAGGCCTGGAAGTTGCTGTGCTAAATAAAACAAAGCAGACACAGGAAGAAAAATACTGTATGTTCTCACTTTATGTGTGGAATGTAAAACTGTCAAGCTCATAGAAATAGACAGTAGAATAGTGGTAACCAGAGGCTGCCAGAGGGGGAACAGAAGTAATGGACAAAAGGTACAAAATTGAAGTTACGCAGGATGAGTAAGTTCTGTGGGCCCTCTAGAGAGTTCTGTGTCTATAGCTAATGATACTGGATTGCATACTTAAAATTTGTTAAGGGGGTAGATCCTATGTTAAGTGTCCTAACCATACACACACACAATAATAATAAGGATATTGATAAAAAATAATAATGGGCAGAAAAAAGTTTTAGGAGATGATACCCATGCTTGTGGCCTTGAGGATGGGGATGATCTCACTGGCATATACTTATCCTCAAATCATCCAGTTGTATACGTTAAACATGTACAGCTTTTTCCAAGTCAAAAAAGTAGTAGTGAACTACTTATAATATGCTACAATATGGATGATTTGCAAAACATTATGTTATGGGAAAGAAGCCAGACAAAGAGACTACATTACATATGATTCCATTTACATGAAGTTGTAGAAAAGCAAGACTCTAGGGACAGAAAGTGGGTCGGTGGTGGCTGGGGTAGAGCTGGAAAAGTTATCTGCAAAGGGGCAGCGAGGGACTTTCTGGGGTGTGGGGAATGTTCTGCATCTTGATGGGTCTGGGACTGCATACATTTGTTAAAATTAATTGAACTATACATCGCCTATCCCTAGGTGTCCCCTTGGATGTCCCAGCTCGGACAGAAGAGCGGGGCTGTGGGGACCCTGCTGTGGGGGCCTGCCCAAGGGGACCCACGGCTACCAAAGCACTCCAGTAGCGGGAAGCTGGATGTGAGCAGGGGTGGGGATGAGGCCATTGAAGGGTGACTGGATACACACAACTGCTGGATTAGAGATGGCCAGCTGTGCCCAAGGAGCTGTAGGAAGAAGTGTCAGGCAGGAAGTTAGAAGACAGCACTCACTCGCCTCTCAAGGAAGAGCCGTCTTCTGCACCTATCAGCCAGACAGGTGGACGCCAGGTTCCGCCCTGGTCCCCAGCACCCCCCAGGCTAGTGAGGGGAGATCAGACACAGAAACAGACAAGCCAACTCCATCCTTCCCTCTCACCCCCACCAGCTCCTGTTCTGAAGTTTGCCTGAACTGGTGGAGGGCTAATTTTTGATGAACATCTTGAACTGGATATTCTAGTTGCTGACCTGAAATTGTAACATACCGTGTCCACCTGCTGTCTATTACTTAAGAGAAGGAAGAATGCACTGAGAAGCTTTTGTTGCCAAAATGTTCATCCTGAGTGCCTGGGAAGATCTCCCACGGAGTAAAATTTCAAGGAACAGTGGGGACACCACATTTTTGTGATTAAGTCCCGAGTCTTGCTTGTTCAGTATATGGGTTACATGGGGCTGTTTCTATAGATGAACTGAACATGTCTCTATATTTATATACATTATGTGATCACGTTTCTACACATGTTCTCACCACATGGCAGGTGGCTTGTAAACCTCATTACTTAAATACTTAATTCATTACTTAAGGGAAATTTTCATACATCTGCTTTCACATTCACAGCATCAATCATAAGGATCTGATTGTCAGGAGATACATGATGCATTTTTTGGAGTCTGTCTTCTCTCTTTGGAATCCACCAACAGGGATTCCCACCTGCCTTGTCTGCCGGTGGACTCCATGTACTCACCACGGGACCTAGCATGTAGGACGACTCAGTAAACACATGTTGAGCAAAGGGATATAGTTTGCAACCAGAATCTTCCCCAGTGACTTACCTTCCCCTTCTTGTCCCAGCTGAATAATCTGGATCTCAGAGTATACCAAGTCTCCCTCTCTGAGACTCACTGGAAAGGAGAAATGGCAAATTTCTAGGCTGCTGCCTTCAGTGGTATGTGCTACAGGTTTCTTCTTAAGCCTCCTCCCCACACTTCTTGGACACAGAATGAGGCAGTGATTTCTTGGGGTGTCTGGGTTTGGGATACCATAAGGAGACCAGGGCTTTCGCCAGGCATCCAGCACATTATCTTTCCCTGGCTCGGGAGGGAGAGGTTTCCCTATGGGGATTCCTCACCATTGCCATGCAAATGCTGGAGCTCTACTGGGCTGTCTTTCTGTTCCTGGCACCTGCCATGGGGCGTTTCTCCTGGGCCTGTGGCGGGAGGGCTCCTGTGAGACATGGAAACACAGAATCATCCCTGGAACATCATAAGATGCACAATAGTGGGATGGCCAGAGAGGAAGGGGTACAGGGGATGTCAATGGACAGCAGGGGACCAGGGACCCAGACAGAGAAGAAGGGGTGTGGTGGGGCGGGGGAAGAAGAGAGGGGAATCAGCAGATGCCAGGAGACTGGAGGCTGGGAATGATTTAACTGGACCTTCAGCAGGTCCATATAGAGCCAGCTTGTTCTTTTGAAAGAAACCCTAGGACCACAGTAGGGGCAGGCTGTGTCCCTCATCAACAGGAGGTATCTTCACACAGTCCTACCTGGACAATTCCAGAAGGAACTAGACACAGTTCGTGCTCCCAGTCACTGGCCATAACCCAAGACTGAGACACGAAGGTAGAAGAGAACCAGATTTTCCAAAACAAAGTTAAAGATACAAAGTCTGATTAGTACATGTGCACATGTGAGACTTCCCTGAAAAGTCTGAAGCAGTCATTGTAACGTGTTTACAGCAGCACATTGACTAGAGTAATGTCTGCTCCAGAAATATTTTGCACCCACCTAGAAAACCTATGATCTTTGGTATCACCTGTTTGGCTGAGTGGATACATTTCAAATAAGAAACGAATCTAAATGCAAGCAAAATCCATAATCTGAACCATTAGAAGATTCTAGAAGTTATGATTTTGCTCATTTCAACAGATGTGAAAATGTGGTCATCTAGCCACAGGGATGGAAAGACAAGACGTGGCGCAATTTTGCAGACCCACAGACCTACAGAGTGTATTCTGGGAAGACCGCAAGCCCTGAGGCCTCACCTGGTTGTGTTTCCCGGAGAACCATCTCCTACAAAATAAAGCAGAGACACTGTGTGTCAGCAGAGGGCGCTCATTCTCAGAAACTTCTTGAAGGGAAACTGGCTTAGGGAGGCCATCAGAAAAAGTCCATTGAAACATGCACCCCATCCTAGAGTTTTAAGAAACTGATCCGGAAAAGAACTGAACGAAGTGCGTAGCTTGCTGGGGTTAGGGCTTTACGTTCCTGGGTCGAATATGCAATCGTCTGAGACTCGAGGATGGTTCAGGGCTGTGATGGCGCACCTGCAGGGGACCAAATGGTCTTTCTTGCAGAGCAGTGAGGGGATGCTCCGTGAGGAGCCCAGAGGGGCCACTGCCTCGACTCAGGCTTGCTGAGGAGGCTCATGGTCCGGGATCCAAAGCGGCACCTGTAGCGCACACAGATGGTGCTGAGAACAACATGGTGGGCTGGACTGAGCGGAATTAAACCAAGAGACCGAGTTGGAGGGTGGTTGTTCTTGAGCTGAAATAGCTCCTGGGCCCATCTTCCACACCAGGCTCTCTAGCTGGAAATACAAATCAAAACCACACTGAGATACCACCTCACGCCAGTCAGAGTGGCTAAAATGAACAGATCAGGAGACTCTAGCTGCTGGTGAGGATGTGGAGAAATAAGCACCCTCCTACACTGTTGGTGGGAATGTAAGCTAGTGCAACCCCTCTGGAAAACAGTATGGGGGTTCCTCAAAAAAGTAACAATAGAACTCCCCTATGACCCAGCAATAGCACTGCTAGGAATTTACCTAAGGGATACAGGAGTGCTGATGCATAGGGGCACATGTACCCCAATGTTCATAGCAGCACTCTCAACAATAGCCAAAACATGGGAAGAGCCTAAGTGTCCATCAACGGACAAATGGATCAAGAAAATGTGGTTTATCTATTCAATGGAATACTACATGGCAATGAGAAAGAATGAAATCTGGCCATGTGTAGCAACATGGATGGAACTTGAGGGTGTTATGTTGAACAAAATAAGTCAGGCAGAGAAGGACAGATACCATATGCTTTCACTCATATGTGGAACAGGAGAAACTTAACAGAGGGTTGGGGGGAGGGGAAGGGAAAAATAGTTAAGGAGAGGGAGGTAGGCAAACCATGAAAGACTCTTAAATACTGAGAACAAACTGAAGGCTAACGGGGGTGGGGGGGCAGGGGAAGCGGGGTGATGGGCATGGAGGAGGGCACTTGTGGGGATGAGCACTGGGTGTTATGGGTGTTATATGGAAACCAACTTGACAATAAACTATAAAAGCAAAAAAAAAAAAAGAAAAAACAAAAAAAATGAACTAGTGTAACTGGACTAAGGCAAGAAGCCTCTGGAAGTGTGTGGCTCTGCCCAAGGTAGGGGATGAGGGGTCGGGCTAGCCCTGGGAGCACAGGATGGTGAGTTCAGGCTTTGACATGGGGAAGCCTCCAGGGAGAAAGGAGGAGAGAAACTAGCCAGCTCCCTTCTCAGAGCCCTTTGATTTCTCGAGAGCGTCTGTCTGTGGCAGATTTAGACAGGCTGTGGGGTGCAGCTGTCCAGTCTGAGCCAAAAAACTGCCCGGGGAGACTGTCTGTATCAACTTTTTGAGACTCTACAGTGAAAAGTCTACTTCCTTCCTGCCTTTCACTGGAGACTTAGTGAACCCGACTAGTTTCGAGCAACGCTCAACCACAGCACCTGTTCGGCACAGCTTGGGCGGAGGGTGTGCATTTGTGGGTGTCGAGGGGGAGAATGTGGGCGCCCCAGTAAGCAGGGCTCTCACAAGGACTGGGCATGGCCTCTAGCAGTGGGTAAAAGAGCACGCAGACCTGACTTCCTCCGGTGCCGGTGGTAAATCAGCAAGCCCGCAGCCAGGAGAAGAATGCTGAGCAGTCCCCCGATGGCTCTGGCAGCAGTGAGGCCGCTTCTGTTCCTCTGAGTGCCTGGTGGGGGGTGGGGGGTTGGGGAGAGGGAGAGCCTACGTGAGCCCCCCGGAGAGAGGGCTGGGACATCCTGGCACTTTCCTCTGCCCTGGGGAGGGAGGAACCTAGGGGACCAGGGCTGGTGGCACAGGAGGCAGCCTGAGTGGCCGGACAGGACCCTGTGCTCCCTTAGGAGGTGCCAGGCTGAGGGTCAGGGGGCCAGGACAGGGGGGAGAATGGCATTGGTGGTATAGTGGTGAGCATAGCTGCCTTCCGGACAGGTGGGAGATTGCAGCCAGCTCCCTCCACGACCCACAGACATCACTTCCAAAGTTATCATTTGAGGGGACTCTCTCTCTCTGTATAGTCCGTATCCTTGTGATCTGGCCTTTTGGGAATTAGTGCAGGCCACCGAGGAAGATGCAACATGAGGCTGGTTCAGCGGCCTGCCTGAGAAAGAGAGCAAATGTCACTGCTGATGGGCACTCAGGGAGCCAGCAGCAGGTCCAATGTGTCGCTATTAAGACCATGCTGGGACGCCACAGGGAAGCAGCACTGCCTCCTTCCTTCTAGAAGCACCGAGGGGGAAGAGAGAAGCCGGTGGAAGCAATAGTCAGTTGTCAAGGGTTTCTGATTCTTCCATTGGATCCATTCTCCCATCTTCTCATTCAAGAGATTTCATTTGGCTGATTCATTCATTCATTCATTCATTCATTAACTCAGTAGCCACACACAAAGTCCTGCCAGGTGCCAGGTCTTGAGGACAAAGCACTGAACAGGACTGTGAAGTCCCTGCACACATGGAACTGATAGTCCAGGGAGGGGAGGCAGACAGGAAACACATATATGCATTTACAACACGCCTGGTGGCGGTAAGGGCTAAAAAGCAAACACTGACTAGAGGGGTGAAGAGGCAGGTGGATGGAGGTGTTTGCATGCAGATTCCTGCTCCCCATGTAAATCAGATTCAGATCTCAGATGCCACAAAATTACACAGAGGACATTTGTATCAGAACCACAGCAAAGCTAATGATGATTCCCGCCTATTCCACAGTGCTCTGGCAGGCACACAGTACCCAAGGCCACTGGCCATTGGCAACATTTCTGTCTCTATGCTTTCCCTTCCTGACAAAATCAACAGCCCTATGAGTCATTCTGCCTGCAAACAGCATTCGTGGAGAGCTGCCCTCTCAGCCTCCCTACCATGACAGCCTGACCAGAGGAGAGGAGTGCCAGGGAGAAATCCAGGGACAGAGCACCTTGGCTGCTGTGTCTCCCCATCTCTCACCTGGGCATCCACCTGTGCAAAATTGGAGACAGCCATGCCCAGGATTCCAACTGCAACGAGCAGAGAGCAAGTCTTCCCCATCCCCGGTAACCTCATCCCCTAGAAGAAATGACTGCTCTGGGAAAAGGAGCTGAAATATGTCTTAGTTTGAAAGGCGCAGAACAATTATGCACCATCAACTCAGACAGTCTAGAAGAAATGGATTAATTTCTAAAAATATACAATCTATCAGGACTGAATCATGAAGATTGGACTGACCAGTAATGAGTGAGGAGATTGACTCAGTAATGAAGCCCACCCAATGAAGAAAGCCCAGGGCCAGATGGTAACACTGGTGAATTCTAGCAAGCATTTAAAGAAGAATTGTAGCTCTAATCTGTTCAAAGTCTTCCCCGAAACTGAAGAGGAGTGAGCACTTCCAAACCCATTTTAAGAGGTCAGCAACACTCTGACCCCGAAGTCAGGTAAGGATGCCACGAGAAAGTACACAGCAATACCCCCGATGCGTGTAGATGTAAAGATTTCTAAAGAAGCTACCTCACTGGTCCACAGGTACATGAAAAGGGGCTCAGCATCGCTCATCAGCAGGGAGATGCGAATGAAAACGACAAGGAGATACCACCTCACACCTGTCAGAATGGCTTTTATCAAAAATGCCAGAAGTAACAAGTGTTGACAAGGATGTGGAGAAAAGGGAGCCCATGGGCACTGTCGGTGGGAATGTGAGTTGGTGCAGCCACTCTGGAAAACAGTATAGAGGTTCCTCGGAAAATTGAAAACAGAACTGCTATATGATCCAGCGATCTCACTTCTAGGTATGCATTTGAAGAAAATGAAATTACTGTCTGGAGGACACCATCGGTCTCCCCATGTTCATGACAGCATTATTCATGGTAGCCATACAGGGAAATACCTCAGTGTCCATTAACAAACAAATGGACAAAGGAAATAGGGTATACATCATCGTCATATGTATATGATGTATAATCCATCTTATATATTATGTGTAATATTCTATCATACATATTATATATAAAATCCTATTATATATACAATAGTCCATCATATATAATATATATAATGTTCCATTATATGTAATATGTATAACATTCCATCATATATAATAATCCATCATATATAATGTTCTATCATATATAACGTTCCATCATATATAATGTATATAACATTCCATCATATATAGATGCACTATTACTCAGTCATAAAAAGATATCCTGCATTTGCAGCAATGTGAATGAAACTTGAGAGTATTATGCTAAGTGAAACAAGTCAGACGGAAAGAGGAATACTGTTAAGAGCTCTTAGATGTGGAATCTAGTCATAGAAACAGAACAATGGTGGTTTCCAGGGGCTTTGGGGGGTGACCAAGACAGGGTCACAAACTTCCAGTCAGGAGAGGAGTTAGTGCTGGGCTTGGAACGCACCGCTTGGTGACCACAGTTAACAACCCTGCGCTGCACACCTGAGAGTCGCTGAGAATACATCCTAAAGGTCCTCACCATGCACACACGTATGCACATGCACACACATGTGCCCCCCACATGTGTGCACACAACGACTGTGTGAAGTGCAGAGGCATTAACGAAACCTACTGTGGTAATCATCCACGTGATGGAGCAGACCATCATGCTGTAACCTTGAATTACGTCAGTTACATTCTCAGTACAGGTGGGAGAGAAAAGAGGAAGTGTAGACTCCACAACTGGATCGGTGGGTTAAGATCCCAGCTCCTCCACTTACTAGCTGTGTGGGCACAGAAAATTATTTAATCTCCCCGTGCCTCAGTTTCCTTATCTGGGAAACAGGGATGGTGGGAATTGTGCTATTGTTGGCGAATTGTATTGTTAATGTATGTGAAACGCTCTGAACACTTCCTGATGCGGCATGCAGCGTCTATGCAAGTATTAGCTCCCCGTCTGGCGCCCTCGCAATAAGCCTGAGGCCCTCGGGAACTTCATGCTACCCTCTGATCTGTTCAGGGGACGTCCCCACACGTTAAGTATGCTCCCACACAGCACCACCCTGGCCACCTTCAGCCCATTTTACAGACTGATTTGTGCCTCCCCCAAGATTCACATGGTGAAGAAGCCTGGAGCCCCAGTGTGACAGTTTTGGGGATAGAACCTTTGGGGGGGTCATCAGGTTTAGATGAGGTCTGGAGGGGGGCCCCATGATGGGATTAGCGCCTTAGAAGAAGAGACTCGAGACCCCCCTCTGTCACCCCCTGTGCCATGTGAGGAAGCAGGTGCTCCAGGAAGGCAGATGTCTGCAAGGCGGGGCGGGGCTTTCCCTGGAACCCAACCACGCAGGCATCCGGAGCCGGAGCTGAGACTGTGGCCTCCAGGCCTTGAGAAATGCATTTCTGTGGTGAAAACCTCATGAGCACAGACCGCCCACCTTAGCCCGGTGCTCCGCTACTTTCAGAATTTCTCTGCTGCCAAAAGTTCTCCCATTTCTGAGCACAGGGGTTTTGCATAAGGTCCGGGAATACAAAAGATTTTGTAAGAAGCTCCCGCTCAGTCATTTGTCAACAGAACCCTGGACATCTGCTTACTCGGGAGAGCGTGTGTCTCCCTGGCAGAGGATGGCACCTGTAGAGTCGTGCAAGCCAGTGCGGGCACGCGTGGGCAGGACACAGGCTCCTCCTACTGACCTTTTCCTCCAGAGGAAGAGGAGCGGCTCCACACTTAGCTCCGAGCTTCCAGCAGCCTCGCTCCTGCCCACTTCAGGGAGTGCGGCCTCTGGGCTCCCCAAGTTCACCTGCTTCGGACAGGAGCCCTGCCTGCAGAGCCTCTTGGGGGATCAGGGCCGGCGCATCTTCGGGGGGTGCCCCTCGGCGGCTTCCGGCCGTGCTAGCCCCGTCTCCCTCTAGAAATGCCATGAGCGTGACACAGGCTCAGTGTCTGCCCGTCTGCGTGGGGGCCAGACCAGACCCACTCGCGCTGTTCACGGAGACATTTCCGGAGTGGGAGGCAGATGCTCCCGGCGCATGTGTTGGTGGGAAGCCCTGACCTGGGAGGGCCCCTGTGATCACGGGGCGCGCCCCGAGGGAGCTGAGGGGAAACTGCACGGCAGCCGGACGGCCCCGGCTGTGCCCCCTTCCCACAGCTGCTAAGCCGCCTGCTGGGGGTCGCGGCTCTGTCAGGGCTGACCGCCTCCCCCGTTCAGGTGGCTGACGGCGGGGACTTCCGCAGAGGACTCTGGCTGCCCCTCCGCTCGCGGAGCTTTATGATTGTGTGCAGGTGTGAACTTTGTGGCCTCACACAAATTACCAAACCTTTCTGAGCCTCATAGTCCTTTTCTGTAGAATGGAGAGGCCAATATTATCTTTATCTTCTGGGATCGTTACTGTGGTCCCTACAACGATGTGTGTAGAACCCATTCATTCCGTAGGAGTTTATCGAATGCCTACTGTGGGCTAACTGGGATACAAGAGTGGTGAGAAAACAGACCTGCCTTCATGAGGGTAATACAGGAGCAGTGAAAGGGACAGACATGGAGACGGCTGGTGGGGGTAAGTACTTCGAGGAAGGACACAGGGGCCCAAGAGAAGAAGGGCCAGCATGGTTTGGGCACGTCTCACTGGATAGGTCTCACTGAGGGAGATGGGGGTGAGCATGAGGGTATCTCGAAGAGCAGTGCAAAGGACCTGAGGCAGGAGTGTGACTGGAAGGCTTGAGGAAGAGACAGGGGGCCATGGTGGCTGGAGTAGAGGAAGTGAGGGGAGGGAAGAGGGAAATCAAGTCCTGTAGAGCCGCGGGACCTGGTGGACGATGGCTGTCACTCTGAAGGAGATGGGAAGCCTGGGGAGACCTTGTACAGAAGAGCAGCATGAGGTAGAGTCTCCTTCTGATGCTGTGCAGGGAAGGGGCTGTGGAGAGCAATGCAGAAGCTGGAGGCCAGTGGGGGGTGTTACTGCCACAGCCCAGGGATGGAGCATTGGCAGCTCTGAGCGGTAGTGGCCGCAGGGGTGCTAGGAACGGGCCAGGTCTCAGCATATCCTGAAAAGCCAGCTGGATTAGATGCTCAGGTGGATTAGATGTGGAAGACGAACCACAAAGAAAAGTTGGGCCTGAGTTTTGGCCTAAGCAAGTAGGAAGGTGGGGCTTTATGTTTACCCCCGCGATGCCAAGCAGGAACAGTTTGTTTGGGATGAAAACTGAAACTCTGGTTTTGGATGAATTCAGTTCGAAGGTGCCAAGTAGCCATTCCGGTGCAGCAGCTGGTTCGTGTGCTTGGATGCATGGGTTCTGAGCTCAGGCTACAGGTCTCGGCTGAAGGGGACGTTGGAGACTAAGGACAGAGACTCTGTGCCTGACATTCAGAGCTGGAGATACGGGAGGACCCGGTGAGGGAAACCTAGTCTGGGTGTCAGGCGAACGGGCAGAGGACGGACAACAGGCTGTCTGGGGAGTCAAAGAGGAACGTGGTGCAAGATGGAAGGCAGGGCTAGTTGGGTCAAGAGCTGGTGATGGGTCGAGTGACATGGGGACAGAATGACTTCAGCAACATGGAGGGCAGTACATCCTCGTCAGAGCAATTTGGCTGCCGGAAGGAACTCTGCGGAGGAATCTGGCAAATATCAGCAGGCAGCCTGCTCCCCCCTGGTAGGTAATGGCTGGCGTCCTCGGGTGCCAAGGACACAGCCAAGCTCGGCAGAGCCAACGGGGCTGCGTGGGGGCCTGGCCGCTGTGGCTTCTTGGGGACAAAGGGAGAGAGACAGAGGCCAGATGGTGGGGCCCGACAGGCTAGTCCCCTGAGTGCACGTAACTGGGCCTGAGTCCCCCCCGTGACTGCTAGCTTCAGGGAGCTGATTCTGGGCCCGGAGACGGTCAAGCCTGCAGGAAGGATGGAGCAGGGCCGATGGCTGGTCCTGTCGGGACCGCGGATGTGCCCTGATGACTCCCTGAGAAACGCATGCCCTTGACACTGACGATCTTGCAACGCGGTTAACCAGCTAACCCGGCTCTTTGACATCAACACACTGTGAGTCACAGTGCGAGCATGTAAGGTCGTTTCCAGGTGAGAAATGGCTCCTGCCAGCAATACCCCCACATAACCTGACTATTAACATTCCCACGAAGAAATTATATCGCAATGGAAGATGGCAAAGTGAAACCAGGGGAAGGAAAATCAGCAGCAGTGCTGGCCACGCCCACCTCTAACCTGCACCTGGAGTGCTGGCCACGCCCACCTCTAACCAGAGGAAGCTGACAATAAATAAGGACAAAGGAGATGAAATCTCACCTGTGACAGTGACGTTCAGGACCGCGCTGAGGTCGAGGCCGAGGCCATTGTCGGCCGTGCAGAAGTAGCCCCCCGCGTGGCTGCCGCCCACCGCAGGGATCTCCAGCTGCGCTCTCTGGGAGCGCCGGCGTTTCCGCCCCAGACTCTCCCCCGTGTCCTCCCGGTACCAGGAGAACGTGGTGTCCCCTGTGCCTTCCGCCGCGGAGCAGACCAGGACCAGGGGCTCCCCGGCAAGCGCCCGGCCCTCCGGGGGCTGGGTCTCCAGGAGCACTCCGGACACGGGGACCCCTGCGTGGACACAAGACGGCTGATGAGGGCCTGTGGGGGAGCTGGCATGTTGGAAGGGGTCACTTTTTATGTGAGTTTAGGATGGGGCGCCTGGAGGGCTCAGTCAGTTAAGCGTCTGACTTCAGGTCATGATCTCACAGCTTGTGAGTTCAAGCCCCGCATCGGGCTCTGTGCTGCCAGCTCAGAGCCTGGAGCCTGCTTCTGAGTCTGTGTCTCCCTCTCTCTCTGCCCCTCCCTTGCTCGTGCTCTGTGTGTCTCTCTCTGTCAAAAATAAATAAACACTGGGGCTCCTGGGTTGCTTAGTCGGTTGAGCGTCCGACTTTCGCTTAGGTCATGATCTCGCGGTTCGTGGGTTCGAGCCCCGCGTCGGGCTCTGTGCTGACTGCCAGCTCGGAGCCTGGAGCCTGTTTCGGTCTGTGACTCCCTCTCTCTCTGACCCTCCCCTGCTCACGCTGTCTCTCTCTCTCTCTCTCTCTCCTAGAAATAAATTAAAAAAAAAATTTAAAAAAAAATAAATAAACACTAAAAAAAAAAAATACACTTGTCAGCAGGTGCTGGTATTGTAGTGCACAGACAGTGCAGTTTGGACCGAGGACCCCACTAAATGTCCTATATCTATCCTGATGCATGAGGTCCCAGGAGAGAGAAAACCTGGCTCTCCCCGAAGCAGCGTTTGAGTTTTGTCTGAGGTCCCGGCGGCAGTCTGAATTGTCTGCCGTGACAGGTGACAGTGGTGGTGGCTGCCAGGGCACTGGGCTGGACCACACCTGTGTCTGGGAGTTCTGCTTTGGTGCCTAAGATGAGATGGCACTTATTGTATTTATCTTTGTACGTGTGTGTGCCCTTCTCTTGTGTTTTGCCCATCGCGGGCACTCACGTTCTTTGTTGCTACTGATTAGGAGGAAGCTGATATTTATCCCCTCCTTAGTTCACCCCAAGATCATGTCAGCTCAGTAAAGTAGCGGGGTGCCTTGTTGTCTGTTCATGTTCGTCTTCCCTAACTCTTGCATCGAACTCCACCTCTATCACATCAAGGTGCTGGAGTTCCGAAGGAAGTCTGCGTTTTTAGAAAAATGGTGGTGGAAAGGAAGCCCTGTGGTTCTTTTATTGCAGGACCTCACTTCTCAGTGTCAGCCGCCCCCATCGGGAGGCAGTCCCCATCTGCACGTGTGAAGGGAGCATTTGTGGGGGTGGGGGAAGCCACAGCCCTGCATCTCCCCCAGCCCCACCCCGTGGCTCTCCCACACTCACCCTGCACAGAGACCTGCAGCGGGAGGCTGTACTTGCGGACGCCCTGGGCGGAAGCAGCACCGCACCCGTAAACTCCTGAGTCTTGTCTCCAGAGAGCTGTGATCTGGAGTTCCGGGGACTGGCTCCAGTCTGACAGCACGACCCCGTGCTCCCTGAAGAAGATGAAATGAAGCACAGTGTCCGGCCGCTCCAGAACCCGCTGAGTTTCGCAGCTCAGGTTTACGGACTTGCCCTCTGTGGGCTGGGATGGGGTGACTTTCAGCTTTGGTTCTGGAAATAGTTCTAGAGAGAAGAGACAAACCAAGGTCTCAGAGGGTGGCCCTGGGAGCCCCGGGGCAGGCGGGTTTGGTTTCTGGGTCCTGGGGAACTTCAGACACGAGGCAAGACACTTGTGGACCCTGTCTTCCCCTCCGCACCCCAGCTCAAGTGCAAGGGCCCCATGGGCTCTGCCTACCAGAGGGAGCTCACGCGTCCCTCCTTATCCAGCGTTGGGACAACCATGTGTGGGTGCCCTGTCACGCCCGGTTCCCCACCTGGACATTACTGAGCAAATCTATAATCTGTATGAAATGAAAGTTTACCTTGAATGTGAACAACCTTGATGTTTGACCTAAGCATGTAGCTTTTGCCCACATATCCAGTGCAGTGGTAATGGCCACTGTTGTTTGAACTTGCATGTGGTATCAACAGATCCTGGCTTTGATTGGACGTGGAAATGACTTTCCTATTCCAACTGTACTTCACAGAGGTCAGTGTCTCTCCCTTCTTTGTCCGGCACCTCAGGACCAATGTGTCACCTTCAAACACGCTATGTGGAGCCTGGAGAATGAGCAAGCCTGGAAACCACACAGGGACAGGAGTTGGCACTGAGGGACACCCCCCTCCTCTGTGTGCAGCTCAATCACAAGTCTTTCTTTTCTCTCAGGACTTAGTCTCCTGCCCCTGGTGCACTATTTCCTTCCAAATCCGTAAGACCTGCTTCAGCTACAATTCGTAAATGAACCCCAGACACATCGCCCTGACACACCCCCAACACTTGGGGGCAGAACGGCAGTATGAAGAGTCTAACGTGACTGTGAGCTGGACCCCGACATTGCCAAACATGTTTAAAGACCACCTGCTCACCGGGGCCCCGAGCGGGAGTCACTGGGGCTGGGGGAGATTCCGAAGAACAGACTAGAAAGTGTCACCACACACTGGGGTTCACTCTGTAGCAGGCTTGTCGTCAGACACAAACCCCGGGGGATGAGGGACGGAGAACGGGGTCCTGGGCAGACCTTCTCCCGTTCTTCAGATGCACATGACAGGTCAGTTCTGTCCCCTCTGTCTAAGGTGAATCAGGGACCCACTGCCTGTCCCCCAGTGCTGTCCCTGTCTGGTGGTCCAGACCGTTGTCTGTGGAGTGGGCAAAGCAGGATAGGGAGAGAGTGGGTGCCCCCGAGGCAGGACAGTAGGAGTAGAGAAGCGACAGGTGCCAGGACAGGGGAGGACACAGTCTCCCCAGCTCATCTGAGGCCCCTTCATGCTCAGTGCATCCGTGTCCCTGTTGTTTGTCCTTCAGGAGGCTGGTCGGCCCTGAGGGCAGGGGCTAAGGCACCCTCAGTTTCAAATGCCCTGAAATGAACTCCTTGCTCCGCTGTGTAAATGCATAGGGATGTCTGCTTTTTGAGGTTAGACAACAAAAGTCCAACATCAACAGTCCTTTGGAAAACACCTGTGGACAATGAGGGGCCCTGGGGAATGAGTTCGCGGAGGTCAAGGGTTGGAGCGGAGTGAAGGCCCCAGGTCTTCACTCCAGGGGGTGAGGACGCACAGAAACTGCTTGTAGACTTTTAACTGGCTCACCCTCTTGCTCACCTGAAGAAAAGGTCAAGCTCACGTGGTCACTCGGGAGCGAGTCCTGGGTCTGGCATCTGTACTGTCCAGAATCACGGACCTCCAGGCTGTTTTCTGGGGTTTCACTTAGTTTTCTCCTCCCGAGGTACCAGAGGAACCATCTTATTTTTTCTGGTGCATGAAAGTGAAACACATTGCAGGTCAGAGTCACTGTCTCTCCTTTGAAGACGATGGTCCATGGAGGGTGGAGGGAGATCACGGGTTTGGATGCAGCTTCTGAGGAAGGAAGAGACAGAGCCTGAGATGGAGACACCTGTGGTCCCCGCCGCGGTCATCTGTGTGGGACAGACACGAGGCCCCGGCCTGGGGGATCCCCAGGAAAGCCCCCCGGCCGTGTCCGCCTTTCCCAGGGGTGCAGTGGCTGCTCTGTGGCCTGTAGGGGCAGGCCGGCCTTCCAGAGGGTGACCCCAGTAGGCCTGGCTCTCCGTGAAGGTCGGTGATGCGGGCCGGGCCCTTGGTCAGTCCCTCCTGACTCTCCCTCCCCGGCTCCTATGACAGCCGCCTGTCTGAGATGAGCATTTGTGTGGCATGTCTGTGTGGCATGAGGGGGTACTGTTGATGGAGGGACTGTAGGAATTTGGGGGTTGATTATGCAGTTATGGAGAAGTTGTATTTTTACCGACACAAAGCAGGTGTGGGAAAGTGATACTCAGAAGCACACGGAAGGTGAGTGCCAGGAGCCAGTCTCACTCCCCAAAGTCAAGGGTCTGCTTTCATGACAGCAGAATACGAGCCTTGCATGAAATCAGGCCCTAGCATCTTTGGAACCCCAGTGGACACACAGGAGCTGGAGAGTGTGGTGAAGAAAACGGTACAGTAAGAGTTGAATTCTCCCTGTTGAAGATGAGGGAAAAGACTTCTCTCTGCCTTCCTTTTCTTTAAGAATTTCTTTGTTTTTTTTAAATGTTTTTTTTTTTTAATTTATTTCTAGGAGAGAGAGACAGCGGGAGCAGGTGAGGGTGAAAGTCGGATGCTTAACCGACTAAGCCCCCCAGGCGCCCCAAGAATTTCTTTCTTTTCTTTTCTTTTTTTTTAATGTTTATTTATTTTTGAAAGAATGAGAGACAGAGCGCAAGCAGGGGAGGGTCAGAGAGAGACGGAGACACAGAATCTGAAGCAAGCTCCAGGCTCTGAGCTGTCAGCACAGAGCCCGACGCGGGGCTCGAACCCACGAACCGCTAGATCATGACCTGAGCCAAAGTTGGATGCTCAACTGAATGAGTCCCCTGGGCGCCCCAAAAATTTCTTCCTAGTATATATGAATCTTTGTACACTTGCCAGGGTTACAACTGAGGAGTGTCCTGCTCAGGAGGGAGCCATCGGCTTTTGGAATGCAGAGGGGCAGAGGTGTCTCCTTGCTCCGACACCCTCAGCAGCCCCAACCTCAGACTGTGGACACATTCTTCCCTGGTGTGGACAACAGCCACTCAGCCCGCACAGTGGTCTTCCCAGTTACTGAGATAGAGCTCAGAGGAGCTGTGTGGACAGAAGGCGCTGTCAGGATCTTGCTCCTGACCAGGGACTATTTGACCTGGGACCTGTCTGGGGGGGCGGTGGGTCTGCTCAGCTGAGTCAGGGGTGGAGATTCCTCTCTGCCCTTGTGATGTCTTAGTGGATGGCCTGAGATGCACATCACACTCTGACTTGACACTTCAACAACAAGTGTTTTTTGTCCCTACTCCCTCTGCGGAGATTTCTGGGTTGGGAGAAAATTTGGCTTTTATTTACATTTCCCCAATAACAAACTGCCATGGGCACACTTCCTTTCTGAGTGTTTATTTTTTGAGTTTTGTAGCTTTGAGGTTGGGTGGTTTGGTCACTGAAGTTGATCCAGCATGCACCCCCGTGGCCTGAAAACTTAGGCTGAGCTGAAGGCTTTCCAGAATAGGTTTTATACATACTTTCTATTCTGAACACACTTTCCTGCCTCCCAGAAGGACTCCATTATAAATCGCCTCCTGGGAGTGACGGACCCTTATCACCAAGGACTAAACAGACATTGTCAGGAAACTACTGTATGTGCCCTCTGTTCTCCAACGGGCCGCTGTATCCTCCCTGAAAGCCCTTTGTTTTCCAGTAAGTGCCCTCCTCCCCGGCCCTTTCCCTGTTCAGATGGCATCTGAGCCCCAAGTCTTAATCCCCTCCCTGGCTCGCAGTTTCTGTGCGCCCTCATAAGAGCGGAATACAGATCTTTCTCCTGTGAATCTGTCTTTTGTCTGTTCAATTGGCGGCTCCCAATGATATACCGAAGGGGAAAGAGATGTTCTTCTTCCCTGAGGTGTCACTCACCATGGAAAACCTTCACTCGCACTCTCTTCCCCTTTGTCACTGCTGCCTGCCCAGCTGCAAGATGGGTGTTCAGTTGGGCTAAGCTCGGAGTGTTACAGAAGGAGATGTGATCGCAAAGTGACCTCTCACATTCTGCCTGAGATGCGGGAACTCATGACTTTGGGAATGGTTACTGCAGGGTCCGTGCAGTTCTGGGTGAGGAGAGGTCAGGGGAGTAGAGCCAGGAGAGTGGGGGCCCTGGGAGTGGTTTTGGCTCTACGGGGAAGGAGCTGAGTGTGGTGGGGGTGGGAGGTGGGGGGAGCCCTCTTGCAGTTGGAGTTACCTTCCTCCTTCCCCAACTTCCTGTCGTGATGCCCGAAGCTGGGGCCCTGACCACACTTAAAAAATCGATATTAGATTCGAGGTTTGTTCTGCATAATTGCCTGAGGTCATCTAAATTCGGTGAAGTAGAAAATAAACCAGATTATTTCCATTGGCATTATTTCATTTTTCAAAAGGAAAGTCTCAGTGATGGGGGCATGCAATTTACCATAAAATTTTAAGTGGAATCACTTCAGATGTGTGTGTGTATGTGTGTGTGTGTGTGTGTGTTTAATGCCTTTATGCTCCGATAAGGACTGTCTATATTTAAGGAAATACAGATGGTTGCTTTTTTAAGGCTTTAAGACTTTAAATATTCTTACCTTTGTCTGCGAGAATGCCCAAATAGATCTTTTAGTTACACCCAAATGTAAAGGAAATATTCTCCCCGTGTTGGGGGCCAAAAATTATACAGTAACTGGAACATTTGTTTTAGATGGAGAAGCTGAATGTTGTATTTGGTAATGCGAACATTCTTGTGTTTCCGCAGACATTTTCTGTCTCTCTTTAGAGGACGGAACAGAATCTTCCATGTTTGCAGTGACCGTGGATAGAAGTCCCTCTGACTGTGATCCTGGGAAGTATCTGGGGTAGGAAGTCTTGTACCCGAGGAAGGGAAACCTACTGTGTGTGCAGCCAGGTCCCTCACTGGTCCTCAGAAGGTGCCTGCCCCCGCTACATGCTCAGAGAAGCCGTACCTTGTCAGGGCCTCATGAGGTTTGGACTGAGTTAATGAGCTTAACCACATCTAGTAGCTGATCTGAGACACTTTCTGTATTTTTTTTTCTCCATCCCAGAGGGTTTAGCAAAGTCTAGTCAAGTGACAAGCTCTTCTCAGTTAGGCAGGGGTTTGTGGGAGACGGTCTGTGTCCCCTGAACAAGGGGGACGGCCACAGGCCCAGGAACTGCAAGGGACAGTGTACATCAGGGGGCCCTGGCTCCTGCTGGTGGGGGCTGGATGACAGCGATCCTCCCCCCCCCCCCCCCATGAACTCAGTGGTCTGGATGAACTCAGGGATTTTCAGGGATTACCGGGACACCTAGACACAGCTCCCCAGAAGGCTGGTCTTCCTGCTGACCAGCAGGGCGGGCGCTCAAAAGCGTCATGATCTGAGCTATTTCCGGGAAGACGTCTACACAAGCCTGCTGGGCTTTGGGGTGGCGTGCTCGCTCATGGTTGGGGCAGTGCTGTGCTGGGCTAGGAAAGGTGGAAACGCAGAGCTGTTTGCATCCCGGCCACCCCTCACTGAGGTCTCGGCCCATGTCTAGCCTTCCCTCCCAGGCTTCTGTGCACCCTGTCAGGCTGGCCAGCACCGGACACCAGGTGGGGCATGCCCCTCCTTGACCTCTGTGACGTGCATCCCAGACCCTGCCCTGTTCATCTGACACGATGGCAGGTCTGACCTGGGGGCATGACTCCTCAGCTCAGGGGGTCAGTCGTTGCACAGAGTGGTGCTTCCCTGCCTGTAGCCCTCAGGACGGGAGTGCAGGGGTCAGGCCTCCTCTAATGAGCATCCCACGAGGAGCCCAGTCACTAGAACATTTAGACATGGAAAAGAGACAAGAAAAAGGAGACTGACTTACCAAGCTGTCCGCCGACTGGAGCTGCAAAGAGAGGTGAGGGTGAAGGTCAGCACGAGGCATGGGCGGAGCCCTCCCACCCACAGAGCCCCCCTCCAGGGCCCCACTCCAGCCGGGGGCAGAAGAGGCACGCCAGCTCCGCCACCCAGAGAAGCCAGGGGACACCGTGGCGGCTGGAGAGTGGGCGGAAGAAGGTCTGGACTTTAGGGGTGCCGCGCTGGGCAGGCTATGGAAGCCCATACATCCCCTTCCTCATCTGCAACGTGGGGACCCTTCTAGTGACCTCAGAGTCTTGTTTCAGTGGGTTAAATTAGCAAATCTTCCGTCACTGGCTGCTGCCACCATCTGTTAAACATGAGCCTGGTGGGGCGCCTGGAGGCTCAGTTGGTTGAGTGTCCAACTTTGGCTCAGGTCATCATCTCAGGGTTTGTGAGTTTGAGCCCCGCATGGGGCTCTCTGCTGTCAGCGCAGAGCCTGCTTCAGATCCCCTGGCTCCCCGTCTCTCTCTGCCCCTCCCCTGCTCGTGCTCTCTCTATAAAAAATAAATAAACATTAAAAAAACACAAATAAACGTGAGCCTGGTGTGGCTGCTGCTCAGACTTGGCTTCACCATCTCCTTGCCCGGAAGGGTTTTTCCTTCAGTACCAAGAAGAGGCGGTCACACCGTGCACTGACACCCTGATGAAATCCACCTCCTCCATGAAGCCTTCTCAGAAACCTCGGGGCTGCAGGCCCTCACTCTGCTCTAGGCTCTAGTGAGTCATCACAGCTCGCTGAGACTGGAAATCAGATACGCAGTGGGGCTAACAGCCGCCAGCCCTGTGGTTCCTGTGAGTGTGGACTTGACCCTTGACTGCCACCGTGTGGAGGTTAAGGTCAAGAGACCGTCTCTGCGCCTTGGCTCCCTTATCTGCAAAATGGGATTTATAGCAGCTCCAGCTCACGGACTGTTAGACGCTTGGGTAGATTCACACAAGGGATATTCTTAGAAAAGTGTCTGGCATGGTCAGGGCTCAGCGATCAATTGTGAATTACTATCAGCAAGAATTAACAACTATCACCACACATTCTCTTGTGATTCATCGTGTAATATTTTTGTGTCTGTTTTCAAGCCAAATGCTTTTGCATGTGTACCTTGATTTCCTCATCAGAGTGTCAGGCTTTGGGGACAGAGACTGTGTCTTCCGTGTCCTGTGTTCTCCCCAGTGCCCAGCCCAATATACCCCTTATTCACTATTTACCAAGTTCCCGTGATGTGCCAGCTGCACTAATAACTCTTCCCCTAGTTAGGGTCTGGAGATGCAGCTGGGAGCAAGAAACTAGCTTAATAAATACTTAGTGCACAAATGACTTACTGGGCTTTAGCTCCTTGGCTCCCGTTTCTAGGACATTGCTACCTCACTTGCACAAATATTGAAAAATAGTACAGAGGTGGAGTTGGGGGCGGGAACCCAAGGAAAACCATCTATTTCCTCTCCTCTCATGCTTTTTTGCAAATTTCAGAGCAGGACATGATTGTAGGATTCAGAGAGGGAAAAAACTATTCTCAGCAGAAACTAATTTCTTTTTTTTATTTAATTTTTAAATATTTTTGAGAGAGAGAGAGAGAGCATGAGCAGGGGAGAGGCAGAGAGGGAGGGAGACACAGAATCCGAAGCAGGCTCCAGTCTCTGAACTGTCGGCACAGAGTCCAATGCAGGGCTTGAACCCAGGAACTGCAAGATCATGACCTGAGCCGAATTCAGAGGCTTAACCGACTGAGCCCCCAGGCGCCCCTGCAGAAACTCATTTCTACATCAGCTCACGATTAGGACATGTTCCCTTCACACCGATTCAGGGCTTATGTGATCAGGGAGGTAACTGAATCTAACTAGATATTTTACATGGCAAAATAGGCCTGCTTCTGGAGTAGGAGGGATTTTTTGCAGGCAATTAAAACCAAGTGACGAACACACTTTTGGAAACCATCTCCCCGCCCACCCCCCCACCCAATACCATTCAATCAATATCTTCCCCTTTTGTTGATTTCCTGCTATTCTGAAATAGGAGTAAAATCCATTTGTTCAGCAGCCCAGAGGGGAGGCCTTTTGCTTGGGGAGAGGCTCGACCTCCTCCTAGAGCAGAGGCTTCTCCACCACTTACCGAGGAGCAGCAGAGATGCCCACAGGAGCATGGAGGTGTGCCCTGGGATGCTGACGAACGGCAGCTTGCGGACAGATGGACTGGTGGTCCTGGCGCTGGGGAGTGAGTGCAACCTCTGAGTGTAGCCGGCTGTGGTAGCAAAGTGAAAAGAGGAAGTACAGGGATGTTTCTTAAAATACCAGCAGCACATTACTGAGGGCGAGAGAATCCCAATGATGAAAGTCACTATCTAGCCGAACACCGTGGGTACCGCTCTGACATCATGGTATGAAAGGTTCCTCAAAGCTTTAGTTGTCATGTTTTCAGAACCTTCCAGCTGCTGTCTTCCAAGGAAAATGCAACACATTCTCTCTCTGCTGCCAGATGCCGGGCAAGATGGCAGACCTGTTGTGATTCACATAATCCAGGGATATCCCTGAATTGGGGTCCAGAGCTGGAGAAGTTCTCTTTCAATGCAGAAATGCACTCGCCTGACCTCAGAGGCCTTGGCTGGACCACCTCCGGCTGACCATCCACATATGCTGAAGCATCTGAATCAGAAGACAACTCGTGCTCTGTCTGATGCATATGAAAATAGCCTGACTCATTTATCTCTGAGGAAGCTACAAACTTTGATCCGATCAGCAGGTGGACTGCAGAATAAATTATAGCCCCATCTCGCTCTTCCCCGAGAACGGGCTGCCAAATTTTCAACTTAGGGTTCTGGAGTCTAAAACCTGTTACAGGAATATCCTGACGAATGCATCTTGATTCTCTGGCTGTATGTTATACAGGAGGCCGGTTGCTGGAAGTCCAGTGTGAGCAAGACTCAGCACGCTTTCGTGGCAGTGGGGCAAGAAGAGCCAAACGGGAGTTCAACACAGAGTGAAAAGTGCCCTGATAGTCCAGTAGGAGGGAAATCTAACCCAGTTCTGGGGAACCAGGAGAGGACATTCAGGAGAAGTAACACACAAATTGGGAAGGTGTCTTTCCGGGACTGAGCGATGACCATGGACAAAGGTGGACGGCGCTCACCACCACCATCATCTCCATCCTAAGAATCTGTGATTCAGTGACCCTTGATCCTCCTGTGAGCGGAAGACATCAGACAGAGAATGAAATATGACTGGTCTGTATTGCTCTAATATAACATTTTTCTATGAGCCTATAACAGCTTCTTTCTCTAACTTGGGCTTGTACTGAACAATACTTGTGTTCCAGGCAATGTCCATGACCTTAGAAGTATAAGATGAATTAAAGACATTTATTTTATTTAAAAATTTTTTTAATGTTTTATTTATTTCTGAGAGAGAGACAGCTTGAGCAGGGGAGGGTCAGAGAGAGAGAGGGAGACACAGAATCCAAAGCAGGCTCCAGGCTCTGAGCTGTCAGCAGAGAGCTGGACGCAGGGCTCGAACCCATGAACTGTGAGATCATGACCTGAGCCAAAGTTGGATGCTTAACCGACTGAGCCACCCAGGTGCCCCTAAATACGTTTATTTTAAAGACATACAAAATGTTGTAAGAGCCACAGCAGCCATAGGGGACACTATGGGGACACACTGGATGTCAAGGTGGCATTCAGTCCTTCATCACTTAGCCCCTGACTTTGTACTCTGTCTCAGTTGCCTTCATTTCGAATTCTAGCTGTGCGTCTTATTCATTATGTGACCTTGGTCAGGTACTGAGTTAGCCTCCTCAGGCCTACATCTCAGCATTGCTACAAAGGGGGTGAAAATAATATCCACTTTGGGGGTGGTGTTACTATTGATATATGCATGAATGCAATAATGACATAGAGCTTGTGAGCCAGTGCTGGTCACTGTGCAAATGCTCAATGTCACTGTCACTATTTTAGGACCGTGAACTGGAAAGCACTTCATGATCCAAGTGGTATTCGACCAACAATAGTTTACCTAAGTTGAAAATTCAATTATTGTTGATTGACTAAGAATTGAGGGGAAGTTGAATTCCTGTCTTCTGTTCCCATGTTTCTGGATCAGTTCTGTCAATTGAGTGAATTTCAATGAGCAAATTAAAATTTACATTTATGACATTATAGAAGTTGTGGAAACAAGTGAGTCATGTTTATAACCACCGTCTAAAAATATCAAAACTTTTGAGGTGCCTGGGTGGCTCAGTCCATTAAGTATCCTACTTTGGCTCAGGTCATGATATCACAGTTTTTGTGAGTTTGATCCCCACATTGGGCTCTGTGCTGACAGCTCAGAGCCTAGAGCCTGCTTCTGATTCTGTGTCTCCCTGTCTTTCTCCTCTGCCCCACTTGAAGTCTGCCTGTCTCTCAAAAGTAAACATTAAAATAAATAAATAAATAAATAAATAAAAGTTTAAAGAGTTAAAATAAGTCAAGGGCTATTTTTTATTGTTGTGTTCATGAATGCTTCAGTTATTTGTGCCAAAATTGTGGTTTCATTTTCCACCATCGGCTATGACTTGCACCTTCCACAATTTACTAGGCAATGACTTGATTAATCAGGGGCAGCGTTCAGATTTTATATTAACAGATACAGTAATACTTGTATTCAGTGATGATGTAAGAAACTGAAAATTCTGATCTTTTTCATATACAATGTTCAAAACTCTACCTTCTATTTTTTTATTTTTTTTTATTTCTGAGAGAGAGAGAGAGAGAGCAGGGGAGGGTCAGAGAGAGAGGGAGACACAGAATCTGAAGACAGGCTCCAGGCTCTGAGCTGTCAGCACAGAGCCCGATGTGGGGCCCGAACCCACGAACCATGAGATCATGACCTGAGCCGAAGTCTGACGCTTAACCGACTGAGCCTCCCAGGTGCCCCTAAACTCTACCTTTTATTTTTTATTTATTTATTTTTATTTATTTCTAGGAGAGAGAGAGACAGCGTGAGCAGGGGAGGGTCAGAGAGAGAGGGAGTCACAGACCGAAAGAGGCTCCAGGCTCTGAGCTGGCAGTCAGCACAGAGCCCGACACGGGACTCGAACCCACGAACCGTGAGATCATGACCTAAGCGAAAGTCGGACGCTTAACCGACTAAGCCATCCAGGTGCCCCTAAACTCTACCTTTTAAAAATGAACTTTAAATGGCAGAATAAGTTTAGACTCAGGAAAAGTTGCAAAGACAGTAGAGAAAGTACCTGTGTGTCCTTTTCTCTGTTTCCATTTCTCTGAATGTTGTCACCTCACATTGTAGTGATTCATTTGTCAAAACTCAGAAACCAAGATCGGTACATTAGTATTAGCTCCATTCTCTATTCAGATTTCACCAATTTTTCCATTAATATACTTTTCCATCATCCCATCCAACATATCACATGACTTTCATTTACCTCTTCTTGGTCTCCTCTGGTCTGTAACAGTTTCTCACCCTCTCTATGATTTTTGTGACCTTACCAGTACTGAGGAGCGTTGGTCAGGCATCTGGGAAGGATGGCCAAGGCAGCACTGAGTGCAGGGCTGGCTCGTCCACAAGTATTGGGCTGTGAGGTGGAGCTGCGGGTGGGGAGACAAGGAGGACACTGTGGGCTCAGGGCCAGCGGCCAGGAGCCTACTTTCCTTAAATTGTCTGGTTCTGTAGGGAATCAAAAGCACCCAAGAATTTTATATTTGAGCCTAGACTAGCAGGTCATAACACAGCTTTATTTGTCAAGGCAAGAAGATAAAGCCCACTTTACTAGTTCACTAGGTTGAGTTATAAATTATCTCCAGATGTACACTACGGAGCCTCCATTTGCACCACTGTCCAGGCCAGGTGTTGTGGGGGGGGGGTACCTAACACTTATTTGGGAGGGAAAGGGAGATACTGCTTTTCGCTGATTTTGTTTATAGGCGGCGCGGGGGTTAGAATGAGTAGCCCCAAGATGTGCCACTTTGGCGTGCAGAGTTTTTCGAATTGAAAACTGTCAAAACCCAAAAGACTCAGAAAGAAACTTTGACACCCCCCTCCCTAAGAATTTAGAAGGAGGACCTGCCCAAGAAGAGAACCATTACCACTGAGAACCATAGAATAATACAAACCAGGCTGGTAGGCAGGGAGCAGCTGAGTGAAGCCTGTGTTAGAATTCCCCTCTGTGTCCCATGGCTGCTGGCGGCCCCACAGACATTTGTTTACCCAACATTTACTTTCCCATCTTCCTGTTCATTGTTTTCCTTCCCTCCAAAACCCAGCCCTTAGTTCACCTTAGTTCAGAATGACATAAATACCTCATTTTGTCCAACGTCTTTGGAGTCTCATTTATGTAGATTTCCCCTATGCATGTCATTAAAGTTTATTTTCTCCCGTTAATCTGGCTCATATCCTTTCAATTCTTAGACCAGTCAGAAGAATCTTGAAGGGTAGATAAGAAATTGGGGTGCCTGGGTGGCTTAGTCGGTTAAGCGTCCGACTTTCGCTTAGGTCATGATCTCGCAGTTCGTGGGTTCGAGCCCCGGGTCGGGCTCTGTGCTGACTGCCAGCTCAGAGCCTGGAACCTCTTTCTGTCTGTGACTCCCTCTCTCTCTGACCCTCCCCTGCTCACGCTGTCTCTCTCTCTCCTAGAAATAAAAATAAAACATAAAAAAAATAAAAAAAAAAGAAATTTTCCTCTCCAACAGCAGAAATCGATTTTTTTTTTACTATTTCTCTTCCGTTGGCTAATACATTTCAAAAAAAAAGAATCAGCAAAATAAAAATTGTTTTAAGCTATAACTTTTAGTTCAACGTTGTGATTTCCCAAATCTGAAAATTCACTGGAGGTTAATATATTAAATAATTTAAAATTTCGATACTTATGTTGTACATCTAAAACTATTGTAACATTGAATGTCAACTATACTCGAATGAATGAATGAATAAAATAAAAATAATACTGTAGGGGCTGAAGGCAGGCTGTTCCAAGGTGGGGCTGCTCTAGTGTAAAGGTTGTTTTCTGAGAGGAAGGGAATCAATACCCTAGACGTTCCAAAGAAACTTTTTCCTCCCTTAACCACCCAGAAGACTCAAAATTGGGGTCTTTCCCAGAATGAGAGTTCTGAGCAGAGATAAATTCGATCTGAGGGACCCATCAGTCTGGCAGGGCAAACATCTAATCACCAGACATCTGTTCTCCCTGTCGCCCTGTTAACTACTTTCCTTCCCTCGGAAGTCCCAGGCCCCTGTCCCCTTCTTAGTTCAGGG